ATTCTACATATACTCTCAGTGTTTACTTTTTAAAACAAGAAAAATGCATCTTCCCCTTAATAATAGTAATATCTTTTGTCAAAAAAAAAAAAAAAAAAAATTCGATACCACTTAAGACATCGGCTAACGTCTTGCTTTGAAAGTAATTAGTTCACTGTCCTTGGATTACGGTGCATAAATATACACAAAACAAGTGTAAAGTTTTATAAATTAGAATCAGAGCTAGTTACTTCACATGCTGTCGTAAAATGTTTTAATTAATTATTACTTCTAATCCATTTTCAGGGATATGCAATGATAAAATTTTCCTAGAGTATTATTTAAACTGAAAACGTCTCAAATACTGTTTAATAATTCAGCAATCAAATTAATATCCTAGGAGAAAATTTTATGTTTTTGAGAGTATGATTATTTTTCAATTACTTGCGGTAGTTTTTTCCCAGATGACAACCACATCTTGAATAAAATGAATATCTTCCTTAAAACTGTTATATTAAAAAATAAACCAAGCAGAGCATTTCATACAGTATCATCAAGAAGCTTAATTTGGCGAATTTAATTCATTAGTCGGCAGCACCACGAGTTTGCAGAACATGATATGCTCAGTTTAAAATAAAATTCATCACGATAAGAAGCATATAAATTAATACTTTCTTAACGCGGCTGAAAGTAATTAAAAGTTCGCTTTTGCATAAGATCTACATTAAAGCCAAACTTCAGTAGACGAATGATATCCAAACAGTGTTGTTTCGTGAACGGTTAAGGATATAGTAATAAACAGAAATAACAACCTGAACCTGAACGAGGAGACTTCTTCAGATTGACTGAGTACTTTAGGTTTCAATTCATTATCATTCAAATGTTGTCAGTCTACTTATCACTCAAATTTTAACAAATTAAAACGTTTTTAAATAAATAACGTGAAACACCATAAAAATACCTGGGTTTCACGAATGTAATAAATGGAGTTCAAATAGCTTTTATTAATTAAAGCAAAGCTGCTATATAAATAAAGACTTGGATATTATTAATTTATGCTTTTAACTTATACAAAATAGATACATGAGCGAATGAAGTAAAGTAAAAATTTGAATTATCAACAAACGTGTTTCTTGACTTTAAATCATTCGGATTATTAATCAGGAACAGCTCGATTAAATGTTAATGATAAATTAAAAGTCTTACGTTTTATTGAGCTATATGACTGAGAACCGGCTTTATCAGAATGCGAGTGGAAAATAAATTAAGCATCTGTTGCGTCAGTACTTGCAAGCGCACTAGGTTGAAATTGCTCCCTTTGTTACTCAGTAACAGATACATTAAATTTGAGAGATAAATTAGAAATCGTTTCTTATGCCAAATCATCAAATACTACAGTACGCTATGCGCTTGGGCGCGTGGAAAATAAATTACATATCTTTTTACGTTTTATGCAAAGGCAATTATTTCCAAAGACTGCTTCTAGATTATTTCCCTTCTTCTCATTTGACCGTTTTTCCGGGACAAAATTTGATAGATTAAGTGAAAAGAATTCAGTTATTCTGAGGGAAAATATAACTATGCTTATCGAGAACATAGAGGGAACAAGGTATTTTAACTGCATACAAAGAAAACTGTGAGGAATCAGTATAAATAGAGTATTTTGTTACGAATATCTTTCATCAGTCAGAGTAGATCACACACCTTGAGTTTCGACATCGAGGTAGTTTTGTAGAGACATTAGAATTTTTGGAAGCCGGAAAATTGAAAAATAAGCAATGCCTTCGCCGGGAATTGAACCACAAACCTCTGGAATACCGGCCCAGCGTGCAGAACCACTACAGCACGAAAGCACGCTAGGAAAGTGGGAGAAATACCTTATATACTCCCTTTTTTAAAGGGCGACTGGGGTTTTCAGGGAACCCAATCGCCAAATCCTGGGTGTGGAGAGTCATCATCCACAACCCTTTTAGTTCGGGCGCCACTGTAGAGACATTAGGATTTTTGGAAGCCGCAGAATTGAAAAATAAGCAATGACTTCGCCGGGAATCGAACCACGTACCTCTGGAATACCGGCCCAGCGTGCAGAACCCCTACTCCACGAAAGCACGCTAGAAAAGCGGGAGAAATACCTTATAGTTTTATAGAAGTAATAGACTTTGTGAACTGCCTGTCTTACTGAATTCAAAAACAATGAAAAGCTGATAAAATTCTGCCTTCTGAGTAAAAACTACCTTCCATTAATATCAAACTGAATTTAATGTGTCATCCTAACAATCATCACCTTTAAAACTTAAAGGCTTTCTGGCGTCAAAAGCTCATATTATTAACTCGATATATATTTTTATAAGTTATGCATTTGCCACATCATTCCTTCCTTTTTTACATGCTAATCTTAGTTTAGGTGTTATACGCAATTTGGTGTGATTTCCAGGTTAGTTGTTTTGGAACGGAAGCTCTCAAACATTTTCTCATATAACAAATATAATTCCTGTATAACTTAAGAATTTTTATGCATTCGCTTAAAACGATTTAGGCTTACGATAGGGTTCCCCATAATACTCTAATTTCGAAGATCTGAGAAAATATGTAGTAGCATTTGAATCACAAGACACCAAATAAAACAAAATTTTCAAAGTTTGTGGAATTATTTTTTAAATGAAAAACTCATTATTATGATTACGGTTATTTACTTTACTAAGATTATAAACAAGTTTCCTGATTATGATTATTAACATCAAAATTATCTATTCTTAAAAATTATGTTATGAACGATATTAAACATGGGGAATTTTATACTGACTTACTTCACATCACTTTCTAAATGACATTTGATTGCTCTTTAATATTCCACGTTGTTATCCCATGTCTGAATCTACAATGCATACAAAGCATAAGCAATACATAGCGTGTGAAGTTTAATATATTTTTTGTTGGCTTTCTTGGCGACAAATCCTGAAGGAGAATATTCATCCCTAAACTCCAAGCCAGAGGTTTTTTTTTAAGTTTCTTTACAGGATTTCTTCAAAGAATCGCAAATTCAAGGAATAAAAAATATGCAAATACGGGAATGAGATTGGTGTTTGGGGTAAAAAGAGGGAATATTTCCCCAGAGCCGCTTTTCAAAGCTGCAACATGATGGATGATACTGGAGCTTTTTGCGTCACCAACTTTTTGGGTAATAAGCCCATCCCTTCCACTCCCTTCCTTCCCAAAATACTGGGTCAAAAACTTCTCTACGCACGAATCAATGGCTATTTGTTATGGAAATTTTTTCTAAAGGGCTGCCAAACGACGACATCGCGTTTCCGCGGGAAACGGAATCGAAACATGAGTTTGCGTTCTCTACCATTGCAAAACTGCATTACAAAGGGAGCTTTCTAGAAAGTTCTTAACGCCCGGTTAGATGAGATAAATTTTTGAGTCAGGTGTTCTATGCAAATATCAGGTCCCTCTAGAAACAATGTGAGATGGCTACTAGCCGCAAATATAATGTAAACCCAACAGCTGTTGAAAGTGCTTTTCCATTCAACATGAAATATGTGATAGCCGTATGGTTATTGAAATTTCAAAGTTTCCCCTCCGAATGCATTTTCTAACTAAACATTATATTTACTGCGTCTTGATGCAAATTTGTTACAAGCTGGAAGCTTATACCAATCTCAAAGTTATTTTTTTCTTTATCTAAGTTTGATTCCTTCTTTAAATTTTACACGGGAATTTTAGTTTACTATTCTCTGAACGTGATCAGCGCTTACTGTAAGTAGGTATAATTTAGCTACTAGTACTGCAGCATTCAAAAATGGAATTTTTAATGTTTTTTATTGGAAACATTATTTTTTAATACAGAAAATGTCAAAATTTTCCCGAGCCGTCAGAAGTCAGAAATAACAAAAATAAGCTGCTCGCTCTCCCATGGTTCAAATTACGGATCTTCTAACTGCAACGTGGATGAGTTAACTACTTACATAATACGAGCACACGCGAAGAAATGCGATATTCATTTATAACAATGTTTTCATTATTTATTAATATATCAATCCAGCCTGTAGAGGGAGTTTGTAATAAATCAAAAATCTCGTTCAACACCTAATTTTATTTCGGAAATAAATTAGACTTTGAAATATTCTCAAACATTTTTTTAAACTAAGTTTTATAAGGTGATAAAATTAAAATGCCAGCAAATTTAATAAAGATTAAAACTTTATAATGATTTTCTATTAATATTCTCCTTAATATTAACTGCATTTTATAATACATCTTCCTTCCAGCGGAATAAATATTTTTTTGATAGGTTCTATACATTTCCCCTTTTCCCAACATTGCCTTTCCTTTGTGTATATAAGATTCGCATTCTAGCTCGCAGTGTATACATGCGAATGCTTACAAACATTCTAGTTAAATACTATCATATATTTAACAAAGAAAATATTTCTATTAGCTAAGCAAAATTAGCTAAAACGAAGTCATTTTGTTTCCAAATTATAATTAAAATTTTAAAAATTAAGTTGAAAAAATTAAAAGGCTACAAGAATAGAATTTTTTACGATTTTAGTAATCATTAAAATTTAAGCAAGTTCTGTCTCGATATGCATTTATGTTTGTTGCTGTATACAATCTACCGCTGGCTGAGCCTGTAAAGTCTTTGGATACTGCAACTTTGATCCAAAATCGCTGCAAATTCAACCCGGCCTCTCCGACGTTTTGTGAACAGGCTGACTGCATGAGAGTTTTCGTGGTTTTCTGCATATATAATGTGATTACCAACCAGATTTCCTTACAAAATACTGCACGAAAGCATCAATTCTTCTTAGGCATATCGTCATAGAAATGGCCACCACTTCTAGCCTTAATAATGGCCAATGCCGTTATAGGCAAATGCTCGCAATTGCAAAAAAAATGTAACCTTCGAGCTTTGCACATACTTGTTTTATTATAGCTGTGTCTATATTCTCAGTACTTAAGGTACTATACTTTAGGTGTACCTTGTTCTTATAAATGAATGAAAAATATTGCTCTATTCACGGCTTTTCGGTCCTCCTACTCAAAAGGCATGGGCTACGTAAATCTGGAAGAAATGAAATACTTTGAATAGCTTTATTCTTATTAGAATACTAACATAAAATTTTTATTAGTACACTAACATAATAATTTAAAGGAAATCAGTATTGATGAAACGTTGGAAATTGTAAATTATAGTATTGTTTGAACTCCATGCTAGTAATAAAGCAGAGCACATTGAAAATTATTTGAAAATGAAAACTTTTGAAAATGTTATAATTTAGTTGACCACGTATTGTTTTCTAGCAACGCGTGAAATATTCATCCGTATTAAATAACAAAGACTATAAAAAATAATGATCACATTTTAGAAACTAGAATAATACACTTAAAACAACTGGCGTAAAGCAACAGCAACTCTAATTTCTTATTGAAGAAGTAGATTTCAAAATTTCTTTAAAATGCTTAGAATATTTCAATATCTCTGAAAATGATTTAATAGCTTTTTTGCACGTTTTTAAAGAAGACCTTAAATATAAATCACATTAACGCACGGCATTTAATATGTATTACTGTGTAGAGTAAATGGGTTACTTTGAAGCAGGTGACGTGAAGAATAAACAGTGCCTTCGTTGGGACTCAAACACTGGACCTTTCGAATACGCATCGACTATGCTTCCAGTTACACCTCGAAGACTTGCGAGAATGAGGGAGGAGATCTTCTTTTAAAGTGCGACTGGGGATTAGAGAACCCGATCGCCAAATTCTGATGGTGACGAATTATCGTCCGCTACATTTTTTTAGTTCAAAATAACCTAATGACTATACAATGAAATATAGTCATTAGGTTATTTTGAAGCAGTAGACGCGAAAAATAATCAGTGCCTTCGTCGGGACTCGAAACCTTGACCTCTCGAATGCGCGTCTATTATGCTTCCAGTTACACCACGAAGGAATGCAAGAAGAAGTGAGAAAATACTTTATAACTGTTAACACTTGAAAATATATTTAAAAGGTACTTTATTGTTTCGGTATTTTGTTTTATACTATTTCGTTCAAGAAACGTCCTTAAAATAAAGTCTTAGAACATATTCTTCAAAAATTATGTTTGAGTATCCTTTTAATGTTCTTTGTTTTTTTTTTATTTAAACAAGCTCAGTAATACAGAGTTTTCAAGTAATATTTTTCGTGCATTTATGTACGAAATAAAATTATTCTATCGTATTAAGCTCATTAATATGCGTGACTTAATTTAGAATTATGCCTGACTAATTTAGTTATGCATAATGCATATGCTTTAATATAATATACATGAATATTAGTTATGCATACATTAATGTAATATGCATGACTATTTCGATTTATTCAAGCTTTGAATTAAAAATGGCACAGAAAATTTTGTAACAAAGAGCACGAAAACCTAAGATTTATCAACATCTGTATCACGAGTACACTTTCAGATATGCTGCAGAATGATTTTAATCATACAATTCATAGTAGTAAAGAGTCAGGCTTTCTGTTGAAAGTCGAGATAAGCTCGATTTGAAAATTCTCCTATGCGTGTTTGGTTAGTGAGCCATCAGAATATAATACAATAAAGCATTTTAAAATCAAACCCAAAACCAAAGCATTAACTGAGTTCAATTAAACGCCGCTACTAATAAAACGAATGTACATGAAATTATTTGTAATACTTCTGTTTTTGACATTCAGAATAACTTCTGATAGTCAAAAGCTTTGTCACTGGCTGTTTAAAAATTTAGACAGTGAGTTAAAATAGAAATTAACCTCTTTATTTGTCGATGTGATTAGAAAATAATTTAAAGACTTTTTTTTTTATGTATTTAGAAATGAATTTAAACATTTTAACTTATACATTCTTTTCTGTCCACCAATAGCATTCGTTAAAAATGCCTTAAACATTTTTCCTTATAAATTAATTTTATATGAGATTGCTTCACACTTCCTAAGCATTCAAATTAACTGCCTTAAATAACCTTAGCAGCAAAGTGTTGAATTCGTGATGATAGTCATCAGCTATATCCTGGAGACACGTGACCGGCGAGCGATTAACTGTCACAATAGACTGCCGGTAGTTAAACTGCAGTTAGACACTTCCAGACAGCTCAACAACTCTGATAGGCAGCTCTCCCTCGCTTAAAAGTTCATTAATATAAACAGTTCGTGAAAGTTCGCTGCTTTAACTCATGTTTATTTTCATTTGAGTAATGACTGCCTGAGAGGTTATGAAAACTTATATATGTTAAAGGGAATGAAATTCATAACTGAAAATAAAATTCTTTTAATATCATGAGATTTTAATTTTTAAATCATTCAATCGTTTTCTAATAATCAATGACTTCACTTGAAAATTATAAATTTCTACTTTTGTTGCTTGTAGACTTTTTGCACTTACGTTTGGGTTTTCCTACGTCTATCTTTAAGTACATGTGTACGAGGTTTTATATTAAAGAAATCCATTTGTATAAAAACATAAAAGAAGAAAGAAAAAGAGATTTCTGCAACAAAAGATGCACTGATGCTTCAAATGGACAGATTTGTGCACACAAGAAGATTACTTAATAATTTACATGTAAAATAATTAAGGTTTCAGTGGTTTTCCATTTTAAAATCTTAGTTTAGCATTTTAAAATATTCTTAAAATGAAATAAGATAGGTAAGTATAAAAATGCACCAAACCATAGAATAATAAGTTCACGTCATTTCACTAAAATTGTTGAAATGATATCAAACTTTTAGAAATTTGAATGAAAAATACTACATATATTTTTCGAAAACTTGTTTTCTAACTAAGCGCGATTTCAGAAATTCTGGATATGAAACTGAATATAATTTGAATGATTAATTTTATAATTTATGTTTGTTTATTTGTGAATGATTAATTTCTTAAACCCGCTGTGAATGATTTATTCATTAGACTTGTTGTGAGCGATTAGTTACTCCTGTATTTAACATGTAGAAATTAAGAACGCGGAGGCCGTTATCTTGATGAATTTTACTATTTATTTAATCACAGTCTCGTATCTTAGATTTGAAATAACTGTCACGTTTGAAAGATAATGTCTACGGTGCGATACATAACACAGATTGACGGTTCAAAATAACTTCTTCCTATCCCCTATTAAGTTTTAATTAAAGTGAAATTTGAATAAAACGTTGATGTAATTTAAGAAGTTGTCATTAAAATGCAAATTATGAGAAAAACAATTATAAATTCAGTATTTATTCCAGTAATATGAATTATTTCTGATCTTTATACTTCCCATTTTTTAAGAATTACATTCGTTTTCCCAATTATTTTACTTTATATTTATTCAATAGATTGTGCTCGATTAATTAATTAAATAATGATAATGTATCTTGTATTAAAAGTTCTGAGAGGTATTTTTAGGATTACCCGAAGAATGGGATTTAAAAAAGAAGGGAATGGCTGCTTGACATTTTCGAGTTCTGTTCTTGTAAAACGTAAATATAATCCACTAAAGCATCCTTCACTTAGGCAAAACTTCAAGTGCCTTTTGCAATTAATTAAGCCATCAAAACAGATGGCACTTACTTAGAAAAAGCTGAACAAAGAAAATCACTGAAACGTTTTCAAACAATCTTAGTAACTTCTGATTAATAGGAGATACACTAAATTTAATGAAGTCTTGAGGAAAAATTATAAATATATCATAATACAGTTCTTCTTTCATGAATATAAGTATCTGTCTGCATTAATTTATCCTCATCAAATTAAGCTACAGATGTAGTTGCAGTACTTATTGCCCTACCTTCCTAAAATTTGAAATATTTAAGGGGTCCAAAACCTAGCTCTTTGCTTAACTTTTAATTTCAAATTGCAATTTTATGTCGATCATATCTTCCTTGCGCTTAAGCCTTTGGCTGCAATCAGCTTGAAATATTGCTAGCTTGTGAAATTCTTATTTTTAATTACAGAACCTGCATTAGTTGTCAAAAAGGGAAAGTTGAAATTTTCACGTACAAAGAAAAAGTTCTGAAAACTTTAAATTTCATTTGAAGCCATTAATTCAAAGAAAACAATTATAAGATTGAAATTTATTTCGGATCAAATTTATAAAACTAAATGTTTTACTTCTGTTCTAACTCATCAAAATAACGAACATAAAAATAATTCTGGAGGATCGGTCTTTCATGTCAAGTTAAGTATTCAATAGTTCCAAATATAAGAATGATTAAATTCGGCTGTAAAGTTCCAAAGATTTCTGAATGGATTTTAAAAATTCGACTACTCTGAACTTCTGGTAATTTATCAACCGAAGGTTTCGTGATCTTCTGTTTAATGAAAACTGAACGAGAAGAAAACCGTTCAAATTCCCTCAAAATTCTGTTTTTAAAACTGAAAAATAAAGAACAACTTTCTTGCTGAGAATATGACCTGTGTGATGCTGTTTTATAAATACACTCACTTCCAAAAGTTAAGCACGGAGAGAAAAAATGCTAATTTCCGGAAGCCAATCAGAATTGAAGAGGATGCAATTCGCTGCAAAGGTAGATAGAAGTATGCAAATATGTTAGGTAACAGCCAATCGAGCTTTCATGTCAAGAAATATGCAAAAAAGGCAGACTTATAAGAAGCCAGCTTTATGAAGGGTTACAGAAGTTGATTGTAAGTGCTGATAGAAGGTGTTTAAAACTTTCGTACAATTTGTTTTCAAGACAAACGTGTTTCTATGACTTCTAGAAGACGAATGAAAGATTCTGAGCGCTGGCGTGCTCAGGGGCGCAATGAAGCAGGTAGTCGATCACAGGTGTTGCTCTTTTCTTCGGCGTTCATCATTCTGTAATTTCACGTTTATGGAAACAATTCCAAACTACACAGACAGTTGACCGAAGGCCCGTAGCCGGTCTACAACCCCCGCAGAAGATCGATATATTGCTATAGTAGTTAAGCGGAACTGCAGAGCGACCTCCGTGTGACATCTATGGTTACAGCGTCCATTGGTAAGGCGATATCTGCAGTTACTATTGCTGAATATTACATATGAGTGGACTGTACGCCAGGGTACCTCTAGTTTGTGTTCC